CGGATCACCTTCACCTTGTGTCCGCTCTCCCTTTGAGCTCTCGGCATCCACTCCTTAAGAACAGCCGCTGCCACTTCCCCCTTAGTCTTGAGAGGGTACACCCACACGGCACGCGTGTGGTCGTCCACAATGGTTAAGAAGTAGCGGCTGCACGAGAGAGAAGGGGCCCTCGTAGGGCCCACCACATCCATGTGCACAAGTGCGAGCGGGGCCTTAGCTGGTCCCGTGCCGCTGCTGAACGGAAACTTTGTGAACTTGGTCTCAAGGCATGTAGGGCAGCTCCCAATCTCCTTTGCTGCCCCCTTCACCTCCAACCCCTTCAAGCTCCCATCCTTCACTAACTTCTGCAGCATAGGAATGTTGATGTGACACAACCTCTCGTGCCACGTCTCCCAATCAGCCTCACCACTCCCAGATGAAGCCTTTGCCCATGTAGCGGTTGCATCCACACCAGCAAGCACCTCACCATGTGGCTGCTGTGACTGCTGCACCTTCTTGACTGCATCTAGGGCCCCATCGGTTGGTGCAGTCTCCTCTCCTCCCGCAGTTGTTTTAGCCGTTGCTGCAGCCGCTGCCGTTGCTGGTGGTTTCCCATTCCAAGGGATGATGGGCAGCTGCCATTGGTCCTTGATGCAGCTGCTCTTCTCCTCCAAATCCCACAGCAGCAATTTCCCAAGCTTTGCACGGCAGCTGGTTGGGCCGAAGGTCACTTTGGCCTTGCTTTTCTGCAGCCGGCGCACAGAGAGGAGGTTAGCGGACAAACCTTCAACCAGCAGTACATTCCCCAGCCCCACAAGGCCCCCATTGGCTCCCATTACCTTAGCATTCCCAACACCAATCACAGGGAGCAAAGCACCTGAAGCGGCAGCCACAAACTTGATCTTCCCAGGGGGCTTTACCTCGTCAAGCAAATCTGCCCGTGGGGTCATGTGACTTGTGCAACCTGAATCTATCACCCAGTGAGTGAGGGGGTGCATCACAACCTTCCCAACTGAGCCCACATCACCCTCACTCCCTTTCACATCCTCAACCATGAGGAACATCCCAGGGTTGGCTTTACCTTGTGCACCATCACCTTGTGCACCTGAACCTTGCACAGCGTCACCTCGTGCACGTTCACCACTTGGCGGCTTCATGCCTGGGGACGCCCATCCCTCAGGCCGGCTGAAACACTTGAACCATGGGTGTCCAGCCTTCTTGCAGTACCAGCAGGCACCCTCCATTCGAGTGCTCCCCCTGCCACCAGAGCTCCCATGCCCCTCATTGTAGTCACCTCGGCCTCTCCCTCTGCCAAAGCCTCTCCCACGGCCTCGGCCTCTCCCTCCCCCTCTTCCCCTGCTGCCTCCTGCAGCTCCATACCCCTCAGCAGTTTTGTTGGCAGCACCACCACCCGTGTGGCGCCTGCGGAAGTCCTCCTGCAGAATCTGCTGCCGTAGCCACTCAGGTGTCCACTGGTCCTGCTGAGTGTTGAGGGTGGGGATGAGGTTGTCCCATGAGTTGTCGAGCACCGAGATGATCTTGGTGCACTGCTGCATCTGCGACACATTGCTGCCCGCCGCTGCCATCCTCGCATAGGTGTCCTTGATCTTGTCAAGGACCGGCTTCACATCATCACCCCGGTCTCATGGAGAGGGCAGCCAGCTCCTTCTCCAACACAATCACCATCGACAGCGTGTTGGGCTGAATCACGTCGCGTAGTAGCTTCCACGCCTTTGGTCCGGAATCATCCAACTCCACCAAATCCTTGATGTGTTGGAACATATCGTTGTTGACCGATTGAAGGATTAGGTCGTACAGCACCGCACTCTTCTCAATCCACCGATCGCGAGCATCTCCTTCCTCTGGCATCTTCTCTTCACCCATCGCAAGTTTCAGCAGCTTGTAGCGCTTGAATGCACTCCGCATCCGCCCGCTCCATTCCTCATAGTTTGAGCCATCCAATGCCTCGATCTTGGATGGTGGCGGCTCATTCCTCTTCTCAGCTGCATCTCCACTCCCTTGACTCATTTTCTTTGCTCCCAAACACAGGTTCCAGCTCCCCCCTTGCTGTCCACACCGAAGTCCCACAATAGTTTCACAAGTGTCGGCGCCAACGAAATTTCGGCAGAGTTTCCCCTTAGCGGAAGTCACATGCAACCTCCAGAACTCCACTTAGGCACGCCCACAGGCCATGGTGGGTCTAGGAGGGTCTTCAAACTTCAGTAGACTCTTCACAAAGTCCTTAATCAGCTCTGATACCAGTTGTTAGAGACTAAGGACAGAGTCTATGAAGATTAAGGGCCGAAATATCTTAAAATCGTCAACTATAATTCAGGACAGAAAATTCGTCGTCACAAGAATCGTTGTCGACGATTAACGCACGATTAGAATTCTCTTAAACTTGAGTATGTTGTAGCCCTTGACCGTGGCTATCTTTCCCAATTTGAATAGTATCAAAATATGGAGTATAACTCGAGTTATGAACTTCGGCGCACTAGGGGGTATGCTGCCATAGAAAACGTAACTCAATAACAATGATCTCACAAGTTCACACAAGAAAGTAGGAGTAGTACTTGAACCAGGTAGGAGGGGATGTGGAGGACGAGAGGGAAGGTCCCAAGGGAGTCCCCAATCAAGGAAACCCCATACCACACAATTCCCCTCTCTATAGGCACCCCAACTTTGACATTTGTCACTTTCCCAACTCATGCCATCCACCTCACCCAACTTGGCCACACTTGCCAACCTGGCTTGGCTTCTCCCAACCACTTTGCATCATCTACAGTGATGGTGACGAATTTCCCAACCCCCAAAATTATGTACCCCATATTGAGTCAACCCGCAAATTCCTATAGTCGCCGCATCATAATCAAAACTTCGAACGATCATATCTTTCCCGTTCTTGCTTCGATCGCAGCGATTCTCGGTTCGTCAGGAAGCTCTTGAGCAGAGGAGTCACTTCAGATATCTGCTCAAGCCAAATAACATTCACACATACTCAGAAAATCCAAACAACACCAAACACAAATTCTTGCATACGCTCACACCACGCATGCAACGCACGAACACATGATGGGAGGCAGACAGACGTGAATGCATATGATTGCATCACACAACACAACGGGGCTGAGGGGCGCGGCTAGGGTCGACGTGGTCGACGGGGCCAACGGGGCCGAGGGGCGCGGCTAGGGGCGACGGGGCCAACGGGGCCGAGGGGCGCGGCTAGGGGCGACGGGGTCGACGGGGCCAACGGGGCCGAGGGGCGCGGCTAGGGGAGACGGGGCCAACGGGGCCGAGGGGCGCGGCTAGGGGCGACGGGGTCGACGGGGCCAACGGGGCCTAGGGGCGCGGCTAGGGGCGACGGGGCCAACGGGGCCGAGGGGCGCGGCTAGGGGTGACGGGGCCAACGGGGCCGACCGGGTCGCGGCTAGGGGCGACGTGCGTGGGCCTAGGCTGGCAGGGCAGTAGGTGGTGGGCCCAAAAACAGACCGGTCCTAGGGGACCTGCTCTGAAACCATGTTAGAATGTTGTGAACGAGAATGAAATGAACTAGCAGCAGGATGAGTACAAGTACTAACCCTGAGTTGTGTTGTACCCCATATGGGCTACCCCACTACATACTACACAATGTGCAGCATATAAGTTTGACAAAGGAGACACGGGGCCAGAGGTTGAGCTGATGCGCAGCGTACCGGACCGCAAACGGCCACAGAAAATAGGGAGCAGCCGCATGGATCATGGAGGTACGAGCGACCTCTATGACTAGGCCAATGCGGCGCTCAGCAATCCCATTTTGCTTAGGGGAGTCTTGAAGCGTGAACGACTGGAGAATGCCCTCCCCACGACAAAAGTCCCACAAGAGGTCGGAGGAGAACTCACCACTACTGACAGAGTGCAGACGTAGGACAAGAAGGTCCGTACGGAACAGCTCGCGAAGCTGGAGACGGACAGTGCGGATCCAATGGATCAATACATCAACGACCTGACCCTTGCTGCGCAAGGGGAAGACTGTGGTGTACCGCATGAAGTCGTCAACAATCAGCAGAAAGTAGCGCTTGCGGCCCTGTCCACTGACAAGGGCTGGGCCCCACACGTCGATGTGGAGAGTCTGCACGGAAGGCAGGGGGGGGCAGGCGAGGGCGGGAGGGGAGGCAGAGACCTGGGAAGACCAGAGACAAGGAGGCGGGAGTGCATGCCTCGAAGGCGTGGCAGGGAGGGTTGACCCAGGAGGTGGTGCCACAGAAGGTTCTGGTGTGACAGGAGGCGACACAAGCAAGGGGGTGCTACCTGGCCTGACGCGGACACCTAAGCAGACGCAGCTACCTGAGGGGGCTCGGTAGCCACAGTGTATAGACTCGGCCCTGGCCGATGAGTGAACGTGGCCAGGTGACGACCCGTCCGTGTACACGTGCAGATCGACACACACTGACCACCAGGAGTGGTGGTAGTGACCATCGCGTCCTGGAGGGCAGCGGTACTCACCAAGTTCGTAGAGAACGAGGGGAGGTGAAGGCCTGACAGTGAGCCAGACGGAACCGCCGAACACGGGAGGACAGTGGAGGAACGGGCAACGACCGGGCCCCCGGAGGGGTCAGCCAGTCTGACCGGGACAGGTGCATAGAGAGGAGTGAGGGTGGTGCTGTCATGAAAGAAACAGCGTGAGGCACGTGAGTCCAGCGTGAAGGTGTGCAAGGCCTCAGCAGGCGCAGTACCAGGGAGAGAAGACTCACTAGCAATTAGAGCAGCACCCTCTATACCTGGGTCAGGCGGCACACACCGGTAACACTCACCCTCAGCACTAGCAGACAAAGCATATATAGCAGAAAGGATAGCATCATAGTCTAGGTCAAAGATCAAAGCATATATAGCAGAAAGGATAGCATCATAGTCTAGGTCAAAGATCGCAACTCCACACCTAAGCAGCTCTGCCCAGTGGGGGCGCTTGACCTCGTCACCAAACTCAGCGCGCCAAGCGTCGTCGAGGCGGGAGAAGCAACGGTGCTCAGTGTGAGGCTTCCCGCATGTCTGACCAGCACGGTCACCCGTGCGAATGACATACGGGCAGCTCACACTACCCCCAGACGCCCCACGCTAAAACAACCACTCACAAAGCTGTTGGAACGACGGGGTCTCGTTCCGACGCTGCTGCCGCTGTCTCTGGCCTTCTCAAGAACCTCCACGCGGAGCTCCAGTCCTACCGCCACCGCTCCCACCGCTACCACTACCGCCACTCCCACCGCTGCCTCCACCACCGCCACCAAAGCCCCCACTCCCGCCACCACTCCCACCGCTGCCACCACCTCCACTGCCTCCACCACCTCCACATCTGCCCCCACCACCACCACCGCTGCCACCTCCACCACCCCTGCCACCCTTGCCCTTGCTGCTGCGGCGCTTCCCACTAGCAGAATCAGCTCCGACTTCTTCAGCACCAAGGACGTTAACAGCAGCAGCAGAGGTGTAGGAGGGGGCAAGGGGGGAGGGGGAACACCCCTCAAAGAAGGGTGTGCGAGGAGTGCCACGAGCAGCACCTACAGCGACTACACTAGTCTCAGCTGCAAGGAGGTGCTGCTCGAGTAGGTCAACAGTGAGGGGTGTGGGGTCGAGCGCGAGAAAGTGGTCCCTGACAACGCGAAGAGAGTCAGGGAGGCGGGTGACTATAAAGCAGAGAGGGATGTACATCGGGGGCGGGTTCCTGTCAAGGAACTCTGCTGGGAGGGTAGTACGGTAGCGAGCGTCGCTAGTGCGCAGGCAAGAAACCAGGTCCTCTACTATGGCAAAGGCGGACAGCTCGGGAAACAAGTAGGGCAGGAGAAGACAGCCTAGAGCAGCAGTGGCAGGCGAGGAGTAACGGGCAACAACAGCGTCATACAGTGCCTGTGTTGTCCTGTGCTGTCCGAAGTGAGCGCATTTGGCCAACGGAAGGTGGTTGCGAATGGCTAAGCGAGCAACAGCGTCACGAGTAAGCCACTGTGAGCGAGTCGCACTGTCAGCTGTGGCGGGAGGGGCGAGAGCGGCGCCAGACGTGTGGTCAAACAACGAAACACTGTCCCTAGAGTCGCTCAGTAGGTACAGCTGCAATTCGTCGAGCCACGTGTCAAACTAGATCGGTAGGCCCTCATGATCGAATGCTAGAACACGGAGAGAAGCCATAGTGGCGCAGCACGCGGGGCGGGCAGAGGCCGGGCAGCGCATGGAAAAGGGGCAAGCAGCATGCTGCATGAGGGGCGGCCGCGGGGCGACGTGTCGGGGCCAAGGGCTAGGGGCGACGGGCTGCGGGGCCAGGAGCGACGGGCTGCGGGGCCGGGAGCGACGGGCCGGGGGCCTAGGGGCGACGGGCCGCGGGGCCTAGGGGCGACGGGCCGGGGGCCTAGGGGCGACAGGCCGCGAGGCCAAGAGCGACGGGCCGCGGGGCCAGGAGCGACGGGCCGCGGGGCCGGGAGTGACGGGCCGGGGGCCTAGGGGCGACGGGTCGTGAGGCCAGGGGCTAGGGGCGTCGGGCCGCGGGGCCAGGAGCGACGGGCCGCGGGGCCGGGAGAGCGACGCGCCGGGGGCCTAGGGGCGACGGGCCGCGGGGCCGAGGGGCGACGGGCCGGGGGCCTAGGGGCGTCGGGCCGCGAGGCCAAGAGCGACGGGCCGCGGGGCCAGGAGCGACGGGCCGGGGGCCTAGGGGCGACCGGCCGCGGGGCCTAGGGGCGACGGGCCGCGGGGCCAGGAGCGACGGGCCGCGGGGCCAGGGGCGACGGGTCGGGTCCTAGGGGCGACGGGCGACGAGCCGGGCCTAGGGGGGGGCGACGGGCGACGGGCCGGGGCTAGGGGTCGTCGTGCAGGCCGCACGAGGGCGGCGCGCGGAGTAGCAGGGGCGGCACGAGGGTCGCTAGCAGGGCAGCTCAGTGGTGGGCCCAAAAAAAACTTCGGTCCTAACGGAGGACCTGCTCTGCAACCATGTCAAAACTAACGAACAAGAATGAATGCATTGAACAGAAGTTGGGTACAAGTACTAACCCTAATTGGGTTGTACCCCTTATGGGCTAGCCCACTATAGCCTACACAAATGTAAGCACTATAACATTCTGACATATGTGGCATTGTGTGCATGCATGTGTATCTGTTTATGTTCATCATTGCATCAACAACGCATGTCTGTGATTTTAAAAAATATGTCTTAAGTCTATCATTTGACAAAAGGTTCATTGGCGCACAAAGTTGCCACTTCGAACTGGATTTGATAGGGATGACCATTTTTTTAGAATTTACAGATTGTGTTGTTTCATGTGATAGTTGATTATTCAAATGCTAAGCTATTGACCTCCCCCCCATGCTAGGCAAGGGATGACGGTAGTGTCAGAATGAAACGAAAGGAAATGACTGAACTAGAAAGCAGGTGGGTACAAGTAGGAAACCTAAAAGTGTTGTACCCTATATGAACTACCCCACTACAGCCTAGATAGACTATAGCATATAAGTTTGACACACCCCCATAGGCAAAGTGGGGGAGAACAAGAGGCCACAAGGCCAGTCAAGAAAGGCAAAGCAAGCTCAGGGTGGATCACAAAGTCACCACGCAGTCTGAGCACAAGCAAATGGCCATAAGGCCAGTTCACATGCAGGGTTATATATAGGAGAACAAACAATACAGTGAACACAACCTAGCAAGAGTAAGCATGCAGGTATATGTGTAGAGAGTACAGTACAAGCAAAGTCAAGAAGTAAGCAAGTGAGGCACAGTAGGTACAAGGCCTAGAACAGTACAGAAACGCTGATGATCACAAGGCTGAAGTGCCTTGGTGAAAATTCTGCATGTGAACTGGCCTTGTGGCCATTTGCTTGTGCTCAGACTGCGTGGTGACTTTGTGATCCACCCTGAGCTTGCTTTGTCTTTCTTGACTGGTCTTGTGACCTCTTGTTCTCCCCCACTAAGCTGCGGGTTGCGGGGACTGGGGGTGCGGAGCCTGGGGGTGCTGAGCCTAAGCGTGTGGAGCCTGGGGGTGCTGAGCCTGGGGGTATACTGCGTCAGGGGGTGCTGAGCGTGCGCGTGCTGAGTCTGGAGGTTCTCCGGGTGTCCCGTTGCGGCGGGAGCCCCTCTCTCCGCAGCGGCTGCGTGAGTGGTACGCTCGGCGCTGTCGCCGTGCTACTGGTGCCACTGGTGCTGGAGCTGCTGGAAATGCTGTTGGTGCTGGAGCTGCTGGAGGTGCTGCTGGTGCTGGAGCTGCTGGAGGTGCTGCTGGTGCTGGAGCTACTGGAGGTGCTGCTGGTGCTGGAGCTGCTGGAGGTGCTGCTGATGCTGGAGCTGCTGGAGGTGCTGCTGGTGCTGGAGCTGCTGGAGGTGCTGCTGGTGTTGGAGCTGCTGGAGGTGCTGCTGGTGCTAGAGCTGCTGGAGGTGCTGCTGGTGCTGGTGCTGCTGGAGGTGCTGCTGGTGCTGGAGCTGCTGGAGCCGCTGGTCCTGGAGGTGCTCGTACTGGAGGTACTGGAGCTGCTGGGGCTGGTGGTGCTGGAGCTGCTGGAGCCGCTGGTCCTGGAGGTGCTCGTACTGGAGGTACTGGAGCTGCTCGGGCTGGTGGTGCTGCAGGCGTTGGAGCTGCAGGTACTGGAGCTGAGGGTACTGGTGCTGTCTCTACTGTTTCAAGAGGCGCTGCGCGGCCGCGGCCGTACTACGTTCCGCTCCTTCAGCAGGTTCTTGGTCTACCGCCTTCTCCTGGTCCTACTCCTCCCTTACTGAGTCCACCGCCTGTCCGGTCACAGTCGCAGTTACTGCCGGCCTCTCCACTGCCTGGTCCTTCTCCTTACTCTGGACCGACTAGAGGTCTTACGGAGCGTCGTGAGCCTGAGTCGCGTCCTGTGTCGCCTGAGTCTCGTCCTGCGTCACCTGAGTCTCGTTCTGAGTCGCCTGTCCGCACTGTTCGCGGCTGGTCGTCGTGTTTCGCGTCCGCGTCCTCCTCCTGTCCCTGGCACTCACTCTATGACTCTGCGTCCTTCCACTGCTCCACAGCGTGTCCCTCTGCCGTCTCCTCCTGCGTCCTCTCTTCCTGACGGTCCGGACCCGGAGTCTGACTCCCTTCGTGCTGCTAGTCCTACTATCACGCGTTTTCTAGCCACTGCTGTCACTGACCCTTTGTTTGAGTCCACTGCTGCGTCTGCTCTCGTTGTTGAGCTTGTTGACTTTGCTGCAGCCTGTCGCCTAGACTACGTCACTAGTCTTGTTGTTGAGTCTGCGTCTGCGTCTGCCTGTCCTCCGTCCGTCGGGGGTGAGTGTGCTCTTGGCACGGATGTTCTTGAGGACAGACAGAAGGAGTTTGAGTGCTTTGCCGCTGCTGTACCTCATCTCGTGTCCATGCTGCTTGCCCCTGAGGGAGACCCGGATGCACCAGACATCCCGACCCCGCGCTCTTACACAGAGGCGATAGAGGGTCCCTACTCCTTTCAGTGGCAGGCAGCCATGGACGCCGAGATGGCTTCCTGGAAGTCCACAGGCACCTACGTCGACGACGTTCCCCCGCCTGAGTAGAACATCGTCAGTGGCATGTGGATCTTCAGGGTGAAGCGGCCGCCGGGTTCTGCGCCTGTCTTCAAGGCGCGTTACGTTGCACGTGGCTTCAGTCAGCGACAAGGAGTTGACTTCTTCCAGACCTTCTCCCCTACCCCGAAGATGACCACTCTTCGGGTACTGCTGCACGTCGCGGCTCAGCGTGACTACGAGCTCCACTCGCTTGACTTCAGCACAGCCTTCCTACAGGGCAGCCTGCACGAGGAGATCTGGCTGCGCCGCCCACCTGGCTTCACTGGGTCGTTTCCTGCTGGTACCCAGTGGAGCCTCCGGCGGCCAGTCTACGGTCTCCGCCAAGCACCCCGTGAGTGGCACGACACACTGAGGACGACTCTTGCTACTCTTGGTTTTGCTCCTTCCACTGCTGACCCGTCACTGTTTTTACGCACTGACACCACTCTGCCGCCGTTCTACGTTCTCGTGTACGTAGACGACCTCGTCTTAGCTACTGCTTTCACTGAGGCACTCGCCCACGTGAAGTACGAGCTGCAGAAGAGACACACGTGCACAGACCTGGGTGCTGATAAGCTATCTTGGCTTGCGGATCACCCGGGACAGAGCACAGCGCACCATTACCTTGACTCAGTCACACATGGTGCAGCAGGTCCTTCAGCGCTTCGGCTTCACGTACTCCTCGCCACAGTCCACTCCTCTGCCTACTGGTCACTCGCTCTCAGCTCCACCTTCGGATGAGTCTGTAGAGCCGAGTGGCCCGTATCCAGAGCTTGTGGGCTGCCTCATGTACCTGATGACTTGCACACGACCTGACCTCGCATACCCTCTCAGCCTTCTGGCTCGCTACGTGGCTCCCGGTAGGCACCGAAAGGTGCACTGGGATGCTGCGAAGAGGGTGTTGCGCTACTTGTGCAGTACATCGGGCATGGGGCTCGTGCTTGGAGGACAGGCTCGAGTTGTCCTCACTGGTCGCGCATACGCTTCTTGGGTTGACGACTTGGCTACGCAGCGGTCGTCATAGGGTTACACCTTCAGTCTTGGTTCCGGTTCTGTCTCATGGCGGTCTACCCGCTCTTCTTCT